CGTGTCTGTATTTCTTTATGCTCGTGAATCGTGTGCTGTCGTAACAGGAGTGAAGAGAGCTTGATCGTGCCTGTGGTGGTGCGCGCGTCTGTAGCGGGGAAAGATGTGTGAGATGGTTGTCGGCATGTAGCTGACCACTGCACGGCTGGCCACAGCATGACATTTTTTGGTGCGACCTCGTCCCAGTTTCTTTGAAGAGGTAGCTGCTTCTCTAAGTTCTTTTGGTGCAAGAGCGGGGATCCCTCCTGCGGTCGTCTCGTCCCTCCCCCCTCCTCTCGCCTGCCCCGCTCCTCCTGGGCCGTCGGCCTCTCCTCCCCCCCTCGGGGGCCACCTCTGGCCGAGGGTTGTGCGAAGTGCTCCCTCCTGGGCGTCCGCGTGCGGACACCTGGGGGGGCGCCTTCGCCTCCCCTGGCCTGCAGTGGCGCCCGCTCGCTCTTGGTCTTCCGCGTCGTTGCTGCTTGCTGGTGGATCCCGCGTGCACCTGTTGGCACGGGCCGTACACGGGCTACGCCCGAATCTCGGGCCATGCCGTTCGTGTCCCACGTGTCGTGTGGTGCCGAGCTCATAGTCATGAGGGGGTTACCCCACCACACTCCGTAGTCCGAGCTGACTTTGGACTCATATGGAGCACCACCACCACCACCAACTTCAGAAGCGACCGAAGCAAGACGGCCTCCGCCCAGCCACCTCTCCCCCTCCCCCTTCCCCCTCCCCCTCCCCCCTTCCCCTCCCCCTCCCCCCTCCCCCTCCCCCCTCCCCCTCCTCCTCCCCCCCCCCCCCCCCCTCCGCTCCTCCTCCTCCCCCTCGTCCTTCGCCTCCTCCTCCTCCTCCTCTTCCTGCTCCTCCTCCTGCTCCTCCTCCTCCTCCTCCTGCTCCTCCTCCTCCTCCTCCTCCTCCTCCTCCTCCTCCTCCTCCTCCTCCTCCTCCCCGCTGGGGGAGGCGCTCCTGCTTGACGGCGGCCGGCTGCGCGCCTCGTTGTGGCCCCTCGCCCTCCTCCTGCGCGCGCGCACCACCGGAGGGCACACCGCGTGCCGATCGGAGGACGCCTCAGGGCGAGGATCGCCGCGGGGTGGCTTCGCTCTTGGCTCGTAGGAAGGCCAACCGAGACAACGGCAGCCCTCCCTCTTGGACGCCCGAGACGGGTACGGAAAAGATGGGTACAATGCACAACAGCACATGCTGCCGCAGACCAGCAGCGGCCGTTGTTGGGCAGGCGGTCTCCTGCCTCACATGGACACCAGCCGTGGGGACACCGGCAGCGAGTCCTGCTCAAACCGAACAAGAGCCGCTGTTGGACTTGGTGCCCATTGTCGGCGGCGAGCGTGGGGGTAATGAGAAGGGGCGGGCCTTTTCAGAAGGCTCGGAAGCCCCCCGGTCTTCTGAGACATTTCCTAAGCCTTCCCCGAAAACACAAAAACTGGTCAGACGCCGCGAGGCCTTCTGAGAAGTCCCGCCTCGTCCTCTCTGGATCTCCCAGAAGCTTCCCGTCGCCGCGGCAAGATGGCGGCGATCCTCCCGTCACTGCCATCCCCCGACTCCGCGGCGCCACTCCCGCGGGGCCGCTCCCCCCTCCCCCCTCCCCCCACCTCTCGGGGCGAACCAGCGCATGCCAGCACAGCTACTCCACGGACCTCTCCTGGGAGCGCGCTTGGACCAGGACTTCGAGCTGTGGCAACGAAGGACGGGCAGCGGGATCAATACATGTTCCTCCCCTCCCACCCGTCGCCACAAGCCCCCCTCATCCCCCCCCCTCGCCCAGCTGAGGGGCGACGTTAGGGGAGGAACAGCTCAGGAGGGGAAGCGTCGACATGGAATCGGCGACGCATCGCCGATAGATCGGCGGTAGGCCCTCTATCTGGCCCGCGCCGGCTCGGCGATGACTGGGCAACTGGGCGTCGATGCGTCCCCCCCGGAGCCCCCTCCGCCCCAACGTTGCCCCCTCGCCCCCGCGCGCGCGCCGCCCCCGCAGCGCCGCCGCCGCCATGCGGCGCAGGCGGGCCGCCGCCGCCTTTCAGCGCCGCCGCTGTCGAGCACCGCCGACCGGCCGCCGCCGCCGGCCACAGCGCCGCCGCCGCCGCCGCAGCGCCGCCGCCGGCATGCTTCGTGCCGCCGCAGCGCCGCTGCAGCGCCGGCGGGCGGCCGCCCTCGCGCCGCCCGCCGCCCGCCGCGCACGGCGCCGCGCTCTGCGCGGCCGCCCGCCCCCCTCGCGGTCGTCGTCAGGGGGGGGCGCCTGGGCGGGCCGCTCCTCGGGGCCGGACGGGGGCTCGAGGGCCATCGGCTCCACCTCGCGGCCGCGTGGGGGCGAGGGGGAGGGACGGGCGAGGAGCGAGGGGCGGAGGAGGGAGGGGCTGGGGGCGACGAGGGAGGGAGCGAGCGGCGCGAGGACGAAGTCGCATGAGATCTACGAGGCGAGGGGGGAGTCGAGAGGGGCGCCCCCTTTCTGCGGCGGTCCTCGAAATTCGAGAACGTGGGGGTGGCCGCGCCGCGCGCGCGCTGCGTTCCCCCCTCCGACCGACCGGACCGCCAGAGGAGCCCTTTCTTGATCTTCCCAACCTTGCAGAAAACCTCGGGCCACTTGCAAGCAGCAGCGTTACTGGGGATCTTACCTGGGCAGGGCTTGCCTAAGTTAGCCAGCTGGGACGCGCTGTGAAACCACCAACCTATACATAACCGAACCCTACGCCCCGTGGAACTGCCTCTGGTGGGATCTGTCAGCCCGCCCCCTTGCCAGGTGTAGACGAGGAGGAGGAGGAGGAGAAGGAGGAGGAGGAGGAGGAGGAAGAGGAGGAGGAGGAGGAGGAGGAGGAGGAGGAGGAGGAGGACCAGTGCAAACCCAAGGCGCACCAACGATGCTGCAGTACATCCTCCCTCCAAGTTCCCTCTTTGTGAATTCTTGCAAGAGTCAATTTTCATTGCAGGAAATGTCCCATTGGAAGACAACAGTCTGAGAGTCCTCAATCGTGCCAAAACACTATTCCTAGGACCTCAGCGCCGCGAGCCAATGTGACTGTTCTGCTCTGACAGTCCTAATCCGTCTCAGAACACCGTTGCTGGGACTTCAGCCCCACGAAGCAACATGACTGTTGCGCCCTGACAGTCCGCATTATGCCAGAACAGCATTCCAAGGGCGCCAACCACAATAATCCTTGAAACCGTTGTGAGCTTTTGAAGCGAATGTTCGCGGCGCTGAGGCGAGAACCACATGTTGAAAAGGAACCGCCCTCCATCCATGCTTCGGCCACATTTCAAAACGAGTGTGCGCGGTGCTAGGGCGAGAACCACATCTTGAAAACGGCCCGCCCTCCATCAGTGACAGTGTTGCGTTTTGTTGAAACGAAGGAGCGCAACGCTAAAACGATAGCCACATTTTGGAGACGACCCGCCCTCCAGCCGTGACGCTGTTGGAATTTACATGCTTCAGGATTATAGTTGGTGAAGAAGTCTCAACCTAGACACCCAGCCAACTTTAGGAACACGTGTGGGGGTGCTGCAGGGAGGATTTATGTATACGGAGAAAGGATGAAGGGATCAGATGGGAAACATGGAAATTGTTAAGGGAGGGGAAGGGGAGGGAACAGAGAGGATGGAGGAGGGGACAGTGAAGCAGGAATGTGAATGGAGGAGGGACGAACGAGGACGGAGGATGAGGAGGGACGCGAACGGAGTGAGGAGTCAGGAGAAGGAGGAGGAGGAGTAGGAGGAGGAGGAGGAGGATCAAGAGGAGGGGGAGGAGGATGAGGATGAGGAGGAGGGAGGGGGGAGGAGGGGGAGAATGAAGAAGAAGTAGGAGGAAGGGCGATGTAGCAGGGAGGGGCAGAGGGTGCGAAGATTTGTTTTTTTCGTGGGGGGCAGGGTGGCTGTGGCGGCCACGAGGGCGTCTTCACAACAGCTACTCCTGGCAAGGCCAGTACCCTGCCCCAGCAAGGCCACTTCCAGACCTTGCAAGCGGCCTGCCTGCTGACCCTCGCACAATGTCAAGCGAAGGCTGCTCGAACCCCGAATCCACCGACTGCGTGAGATCCATGGATGCATTGCATGGGCCCCTGGATGACTCCGAGCACGTCCCCCGGGCTCGCGCCAGCCGCGCCCCATCACCCCGAAACAAGGCCCCCTCCCTCGTCGAAGCCGTCTGCGCCCACCACGCCCCGACAAAAGGCTCTCGCCCACCACCCCGAGAATGCCCCCTGCCTCGCTGGAGAGGTCCTCGCCCACCACCCCGAGGAAGCCCCACTGCCTCGCCGGAGAGGTCCTCGCCCACCACCCCAAGGAGGCCCCCGTCCTCGCCGGAGAGGTCCTCGCCCACCACCCCGAGGAGGCCCCGCTGCCTCGCCCAAGAAGACCCCCCCCCTTGCGCAGCTGGCGGGCGAGCGATCCGGACCTCCGACACGCCGTGCCGTCTCTCGCCCGCGCGCGGGCCCCCCTCAGAGGTCGGGGCCCCCTTGGCCGCGGAGACCGGCCGCTCACCCCGAGCTGCTGTCGTTTGAAACGGCCGCCCGGGGGGCCAGCGAGGGCCCCCCCCCCAGGGGCCGCGCGAGGGCAAGAGCCCGCCGCCGCGCGCTGTTCTCGACAGGCGCGATCCACTGCTCGCAGAGCAGCTGCTCGCAGATGGCGTGGATCCATTGCGTCGAGGCAAAGGGGCTCCCTTGCATCGAACAGCGCTCGTTTCTGTTGACGTTTGCGAGCAGGCACTCTGCGAGTAGTGGAGCGCGCTCGGTGATATCCGTGCCCGATGCGAGGTGGTGGGGAGACGCAAGTCTCGGGTTCGGGGGACACCATCATGAAGATGAAGCGGCCCGGTCTGAACTTTGACGCGAGCTCCCGCTGCGGACGTCCCACACTCAAAGCGGACCGCCAGGATCCAGGACGTGCTCGTGCAGAGGCGCGGGCAAACCCGAGGCCTGGCGCACTCGAGTCCTACTGCACGTCTCCCCGAGAGTGGGCGGGGGGAGGCAGAACCCATGGAACATGATGGATGAGGATCGTTTAACCGATCCCCATCTCCAGCGGCGTGGCCTGGGCCCCACTGGCCGATTTACCCCCCTAGATGGGGATGTAGGTCGTTCCCTTCGGGCTTCGAAGGGGTGTACCCCCAACTGGGGGTAATTTGGTGGGGGTCTCCAAGGGGATGGGGATGGGGATGGGGATTGGTTAAACGATGCCGAATGGAAAGGCCGGCCAAGGCACACAATTTTCATCCGCCGGCGACGTGCCACCGCAGGTCCTTGGGTGACCCAAAGGGGGTCCAACTGAAAGAGGGTGGTGCACTAGATTTGGGGCAATTGTATTGCAAATGTGTTGCGCCAGAAATTTGTATTGCATTGTATTGCAGCTAATGTATTGCACGCGAAAACCCAACAATACATTTGCGCCCCGGAATGTATTGCACGCCCCAAACGTATTGCAACCCCGCACATCTATTGCACCAAATCCGTTGCACCACCCCCTTGCCGCTGGACCCCCTTTTGGGTCAACCCGAAGGTCGCGGGTCCAAAAATTTGCACTGGGGGAGCGCGCCGGTCTCGTCCGGTGACGGGCACCTCGGGCGGCCTCTCCGTGGAGGCGCACACGGTCAGGTCGGCAGAGCGCGGCGCACCCCCCCCGAGTGCAGGAGCGGTCGCGGTCCGATCGCGGACGTGGCGACGTGAGGGCGATCCGACCGTGGCGGCGTGAGTCCGTCAGGGCTCGAGGAGCAGCCGTCGGGACGGCGTGCTGACCGTGGCACGCGCTCTAACAGGCAGCGTTTTGACCGTGGCGACGTCAGTACGTCAGGGCTCGAGGCGCACCCTTCTGGATGGCGTTCTGACCGTGGCGACGTGAGTCCACCAGGGCTCGAGGAGCGGCCGTCGGGACGGCGTGCTGACCGTGGCACGCGCTCTAACAAGCAGCGTTCTGATCGTGCCGACGTCAGTCCGTCAGGGCTCGAGGCGCACCCTTCGGGACAGCGTTCTGACCGTGGCGCACGTTCGGCGAGGCCGCGCGCAACGGGCGACGGGAGACCCTCTAGGCTCGAGGAACACCTGGAAGGATCGCGTTCTGACGAAGGGTCAACGACCTCCACAAGGTCACTCCAGTCGGCTCGATCTGGGTGGTGCTGCGATCAGGGTCCGAGGGGTCCGCGGCGAAGAAGCCACATGCCTGAGCCTCGGAGGGCGCGAAGGGGGCCACGGTCTCGCAGGAGGTGACGAGCGCACCGAGGATGCCGACGATCCCGACGACGTGACCTGCCACACTGGCGGTGGAGAGGAGGGGGCCGAAGAAGACGAAGAGGAGCGATCGTCGTCCTTTTGTGGCGGGGGCAGGAGGAGAGGAGGAGGTGGAGGAGGAGGACCAGGAGGAGGAGGAGGTGGAGGAGGAGGAGGAGGAGGAGGAGGAGGAGGAGGAGGAGTAGGAGTAGGAGTAGGAGTAGGAGTAGGAGTAGGAGTAGGAGGAGGAGGAGGAGGAGGAGGAGGAGGAGGAGGAGAAGCGAGCGACCACATTGCACATCGAGGAAGGAGGAGAGCACGGAGACACGCGCAGCCTCCACTCGGACGCAGCTCGCGCGCTGCAGGAGCAAGAGCAACTCTACACTGTGACCACCCTGATCCAGTAGAGGCCGTGAGAGCAAGCCAGCTCACTCCGATGACATGCCGAGGAAGAGACGGGGGAAGGGAGGAGCTGGGGCAGGAAGTTGGAAGCGTAGACCCGTCGCACAACCACTGCAGTCGGACCTGGGCCAGAATCACATCCCTCAAGTCCATGAGACCCACGTCGGCCAAACACACACAGAGAACATCCAGGGGCACCCTCCCCCGAATGCACGAAGAACGTCCAACAGACACGAGAAACGCGGGGGTACCCGCCCCCAGCCGACCTCGAGGCTATCCCTCGGTCCGACCTGTAACTTCTGGAAGCCCGCGCGGATTTCTCGGCTATGCGCCGGACTGCCCTCCCTGGCGCGCCGGGCGCGCGGAGCGCGCCAGGGGCGGCGCCAGAGGTGCCGCTCGGGGGGCTCCCGCGCCGATCCGAGAAATGCGCGCGGACCTCTTCGTCGAACGAGGAGACGTGTGCAAGAGGAGGAGGGGGGGAGGAGATTCAGGGGAGAGGGGGGGCGGGAGGAAGGACGAGGGGGAGGGGGAGGCAGCAGGAGTGAAGTAGGGAGGGGATGGAGGAGGAGAGCTTCTTTGGGCGCGAATCGCCGCTCTTCGGGCTGATGAAGCAACACGCTACGTACACTATTCACTGGTGAAACATCTGCCTGAGACATATTGTCACACTTACACTGCCAACGTCGCACAGGAACATTGT